CCCGGGTTACATGGATCCGACTTACATCGGATCCCTACTTACAACCGGGGTGAGGCACCCCCGCACTAGCTACTTCCCCCCAGCAGACTAGGGAGATGCGAAGCTAGCGCGTCCCCCTCCCCCCGCCCAGCAGACCAGGGAGAGGTGGAGCGGCTTTTCTCAGCAGACACCTCAGTTTGAGATTAAAGGACTGAGGGAAGTGAGGTGTGGGAGAATAAAACTGAGCTCTGGAGAAATGTTTGGCTAGAGTTTCCCCTACAATATGTACCAGTTCCGACTTACATACAAATTCAACTTAAGAACAAACCTACAGTCCCTATCTTGTACGTAACCCGGGGACTGCCTGTATGTAGAAAAATTGGCTCGCTTTTCTCTCTGGTGTTGGCAGGCACTGATTTACCCTCACATGTCCTCACTCCATACCATCCTGGACTATATACTAGACCTCCAGACAACTGGGCTGTTTCATTTTTAAGAGTCCACCTATCTGCAATAACAGCATATCATGATCTCGTTGATGGACTCTCAATATTTGCACACCCAGTCACAAAAAGATTCCTTAAAGGTCTTCAGAACTTGTGCCCGCCTCATAGAGTTCCGCCATCCTCATGGGACTTGAATCTCATTCTCGACTGCTTGATCAGACCTCCTTTTGAACCTATGGCTATTGTTTCAGTCCCCTTCATTTTTATGAAGGTCTGCTTCTTACTAGCCATCATCTCCATAAGAAGAGTTGGTGAGCTTGGGGCCTTCATGGTGGATCCCCCTTATAAGGTTTTTACAAATGACAGTTACGTTGAGACTATGCCCTTCCATTCTGCCAAAAATTTGTACTTAATTTCACATTAATTAATCCATCATGGACATGACGCTGCATACTTTGGACATTCAGCAGGCACTGGCCTTATTTTGAAAGAGAATGCGAGCATTCGGCAAATCTCAGCGCCTTTTTATCTCTATTGAGGAATGGTCCAGCGGTACACCAATTTCAACCCACTGCATTTCTAAGTGGATATTGACCTGCATAGTCAAATGTCATGCTCTTTGCAATAGACCCTTACCGAAGCCACCACGAGCACATTCCATTTATGATACCGCGGCCTCCTCTGCCTTTTTGAACAATGTCCCCCTCAAAGACATTTACTGTGCTACTGCATGGTCATCCAACCACACTTTTGCTACACTCTAAGTGATCCTTCCTCAGCTATCCTAGGACTCAGCGGTGGCATGGCAGTCTTATCCTCCACCACCAAACAGTGGTGCCGATTCCCACTGTCCCACTGAATGCTGCTCTATAGTCACTGAGAGTATGTCTACAGTAGCCCCCTAGTTCGAACTAGGAAGGCTAATGTAGGCATTCAAAGCTGCAAATGAAGCCCGGGATTTAAATATCCTGTGCTTTATTTGCATCTTCCCATCCGGGCGTCACTTTTAAATCCCCTTAGTCCGAACTAATTGCCCGCCGCTGCACGCGGCAGTCAAACATTAACTCGAACTAAGTCCTAAGGATTAATGTATGTTCTAAGGACTTAGTTCGAGTTAACGTTTGACTGCCGTGTGTAGCCACGGGCAGTTAGTTCGGACTAAGGGGATTTAAAAATGGCGCCCAGACGGGAAGATGCAAATAAAGCCTGGGATATTTAAATCCCGGGTTTCATTTGCAGCTTTGAATGCCTACATTAGCCTTCCTAGTTCGAAATAGGGGACTAGTATAGACATACTCCAACAGTGGAGCACCCCATGGGATGCTCAAAGAAAAAAAGGGAGTTACTCACTTTGTGCATTAACGACTTCTTTGAGATATGTGTCCCTGTGGGTGCTCCACAACGCTCCCTTCTCAGAGTCTTAGCTACTCAGGCATAGAGGAGGAACTGAAGGGGGAGTCGGGCCACGGACACAAGGAACTAATGTATGAATGCAATGAGGCTCCTTCTTGTGCATGCACAGCCATATGGGGGAAACTGCTTTGGAAGGCAGTTTTGGAAGTGATGCCCAGACGGGAAGTGACGCCCGGATGGGAAGATCTGCGGCTCCAGGCAACTTGTCATCAACAATGGAGCACCCACGGGGACATAAAGCTCAAAGAACTGTCATTACTGCATGAAGTGAGTAACTCCGTGACCTCACACTTAATTAACTCAAATAGTTCATTTTTATCAACTTTTTCAAAAGCTTCCATTATTGTATTTTGTGTC